ACATATAGATTTGTTTTTAGCATCCCTCAAGATATGTGTTCGAATTCAATATCCGATAAAAATAAACGGATACAGATTTGATAAGGACACCCATATAAAGTTCGTTTACACCTCTGCTTAGAGGTGTCAATCGGGTCAACCGGATCAGTTTCGGGTTTGATTTTTTTGGTTTGGGTATCTTTCGGTTATATGTTATAATTAGTTCGGTTCGGATCGGATCGGTTAAATTTCGATTCGGATTTGATTCGGTTCTATACATTTTCCGGTTCGGTTTCGAGTCGGTTCAGATACAGTTCGGTTATAAATCGGTTCGGATACAATTTGAGTCGGATATATTTTAGTTTCGGGTCTAGTTCGATTCGGATATATTTCGGTTTCGGATCAAATATATTTTGGATATATATTATTTTCTAATTAAAATTTAACCATCCATGTTTCTTTTTATGTTTTATCACATTTATCAATCTATCATTAATTCAATACCTCATATTATTTTATTCTTTTCTAATTTATATTTTCTCTACCCTAAATAATCTTCCCTTTTTGACTTTTTAGTCATATTTTACAAATTTGGACTACAAATTATGAAAACATATATATTTAATTATGATATAAATTTAATATAATTAAATTGATTCTAAAATTTAGTTTTGAAATATCAAACTTTTCTCACATCGACTAATATACTTATGTTTATAAATGAAAAGATAAAAGATAAATTTAAATAGTGTTAGGTTCCATATGAATACAATTTGGTAAAAGTTGAGTAAAATTAGGTGAAATTAAGTAAATTTTATTCAATTGAGTGCAAAATTTATAAATTATTGAGTATATTTGGTTGATAATAGATAAAATTAAATTTAATAGAGTCAGATATAATTAATTTTACACCTAAATGTAATGGTGTAGATCAAATTTAAAAATGATAACACTAAATGCTGCCGCTAGAGAGTTTTTTCAACATGCTAACACTAGCATATAATTTTATTGCCTAATATTGAATGAATTTTTTGAAACTAATCAAATTAACTCTCAAATCAATAAAATTTATTCTAATGGGATGAAATTAGGATAAAATCTAGTTATTCCATACAATTCATCATATAATCCTTTCGTCCCAAAAATAATATCACTTACTCCGTATCATTTATATGTATAACTTATCTTTTATTTCTACATATAATAAATTTAAGGCATGAAATTTTATACTTTTTTTCAAGAAGATAATCCATTTTATGAGGGAATGAGCAAGAAATGTAATTAGTTCAAATGATAAAATAAAAGTAAAAATTTAAAAGTATAATATGCTTATAGAAAGGCAAACATAGTTTGGAATTATTGATTTTAGTTTAAATCGGTTTCGGATTTAATCGGTTTCAGGTTTTATCTGTTTCGGGCATTATCGGTTTCGGATCTAATCGATTTCGGGTTTAATCGGTTCGGATATTATCGGTTTCGGATCTAATCGGTTTATGATTTAAATCAGATATGAATTATTAAGTTCGGTTTCGGTTTGATTCGGATCATTTCGGGTTTTCGGTTATAGATCAGATCTTCATTTTTCGGGTCATTTCGGTTTCAATTTCAGATATTTCGATTCGGATAATCAGTTCCGGTTCTATTTAGCCAGGTCTAATCACTTTTACTTGGTTCCAATTTTTCCGTCCAATTTATTCTTGTACCAACATTCAATCAAATCACTCTTTTGTGATTCTCTCTGTTTGACCATTTCAACCTACGTAGGATATGATTTCTCTGGTTTTTGCTAACTTTCCGATCAGATGACCGGCGCGGAGTCGGAGTCAACGGCTTGGGAAAATCTTTTACGGAAGATGCTCCCTCCCGGCGCACCATTGCCTAACGAGGAGCATCTTGACTACTCCATAGATGTACAGTGTCATGCCTCTCCGGATTGCTTCCAGGACGTTCCCACCGTCAATCCTCAATCTGCGAAACCTCCCAAATCCCGGAAGCCTCAATCGGTGCTCTCCAGATTTCCATTGCTTAAGAAGAAAAATAGCTGTGGAAGCTCTTCTCCTACATCGGAGTTTCAATTTAGCTACAAGTCACATTCCGAGACTCGAGAAGGAAATGAGCAAGCCAATCTGGCATCAGATAATGAAACCGATAACCTGAGTGCTGTAACTTTTGAGGCTGGAAGTGACTTTGATCCCACCGACGGTGATGGATGTAGAGGAATATCGGAGCTACCAGGTGAATCGGATGACCAGGCTAGTGGAATGAAGACAAGTGGAGGGATAAATGGCCAATTGTGGTTTAGGTCTAGGGCTACGGTTTGTAGTAGGTGTGGGAAGAAGAATAGACTAAGGGAGAGAGAGGTGTGCATTGTCTGTGATGCAGGATACTGTAAGAATTGTATACTCAAGGCTATGGGTTCGATGCCTGAGGGGAGGAAATGCGTCGGATGCATTGGCCTGCCAATTAATGAGGCTAACAGAGAGATGCTGGGAAAGGTTCCCCGGTCATTAGCCAAAGTGTGCAGTCCCTCGGAAGTCACACAGATAATGAGGGCAGAGAGAGAATGCTTTGCCAATCAAATTCGACCCGAGCAGGTCTGGGTAAATGGAAGGCAGTTGAGGGAGGAAGAGTTGGTTGAATTGCTTGGATGTGTAATGCCTCCGGAGAAATTGAAAGCTGGGAAGTATTGGTATGACAAGGATTCTGGACTCTGGGGGAAGGTGATCCTAACTGATTTTTTTTTCAAAATTATTGTAATGCCAACACAAGTTTTGCTTCAGAAGTAGAATAGTGTTCTAGATGTGACAAACTTTTGAAATCACTGTGATTCTTTTGGCTGACAGGAAGGCAAGAAGCCAGATAGATTTATAAGCTCTAAACTAAATGTAGGTGGAAAGCTTTTGCTCGACGCAAGCAATGGAAACACAAAAGTATACATCAATGGACGTGAAATTACAAAAGTTGAACTTAGAGTACTGAAGGTAAATGTATTGCAGTTCTTGGTGCTCATGTCCATGAACATACTATTTAACTATTTTGAAATTCCAATCACATTCAACACACTCTCTATGATCTTACACTATATGACCTTACATAGAAGCATCTAAAAAGTTAGGACTAGGATAGGTGGGTAGGCGTTTGGATCTGGTGGTAGTTTTTGCACTTGTCGTTGTGTGCTTTCTATGCTTATTGCTTTTTGTTTCATTGTGATTTTCCATCATTACCCTTAACGTGCTCTATGCTTCCTTTACCGTGCTTTGTGCTTTCTGTCTTATTCTAGTTGGGGATCTCTTGGAAACAACCTCTCAACTTTCAAGTAGGGGTAAGGTTTGCGTACACACATCCTCCAGAGATCATAGTTTCGTGGGATTCTAATGGATTGTTGTTGATTTCATGGAGATCAGGAAAATTGTTAAAAAGATGTTGAAACGTGAAAATAGAGTGATTAAGTTTTTTAGACGAGAGAAAAATATTTTTGACAAGAGAAGTTTTTTAGACGAGAGAGAAGTATTTTTGGCTAGAAGAGCAAGAACTTTGGATCCTATAGTTTGTGGCTAATTAGGAATAATTTTATAATCGCTTCAATGATGATAACTTTATTAATGTTTGTGTGAGTATAAATAAGCAAAACCTTACAAGACACCTACCATAATAATACTAGGAAACATGAAACCTTATTTAGGAATATTAAAAATAGAATATGACTATGACACAACAACAACCCAGTCTTGATAGTTTTTGTGAACATACTAATCTATTATCCTTGATAACACTTCCTCCACAAACGGTGAAGCACAAAAACAGAAGAAACAGAAACATGCTGAGTATTGATTTCTGAAGGTGGAATTGTGGAGGTGGTTTATGAGAAACCTCACTTTCTAAATTATCACACTGAGTCATAGATGCTCAAGATTCGATAGAAAAATCGCAAAAGGCCTCTGGATTGTTTTGCCGGGGAAAAATAGTTGCTGGAAGGGCCTCAGGTGCTGAGGTGTTAGGCATCTTATACGTTTGGCAGTGAAGTGGCCAATAGGTTGGGACTTAGGAGCGCGTGAAGGCGCATGAGGAAATTGCTGGTGTTAGGCCCGAAACCGGGGTCTTATCATTTAGATAATTTGAGGGCGGGATTACGGAGGAATTGGTAGCAAACCAAAACAGCCGTTAAACTTCAGGAGGGGCTGATAGTCGACTGATAGTAGGAGACAATCGATTGTAGAGACTGCAGGAATCCTGGGGGAGGTGATAATCGATTAACAGAAATAGACAATCGATTATTGAAGGCTGCAGATTTTCTGGGAATGAATGATAGTCGATTATCTTAAGGGGATAATCGATTATTACTGCCTGCAGATGTTTCCAATGGAACTGTAATCGATTATGGGGAATAATTTTCGATTATTTCGCAGTGATTCTGGGCAGGAAGAAAGGCGCTTTTGTGGGGAATGGGTTGGAAATATATGGGGCTGATGAGGGAGTTCTTTTGGGTATTTTAGTGGAAGAAAAGAGTGAGATTAAGAGGAGAAATGGGGGGATATGAAATGGAAGAAAATTCAGGGATGGATAAACCAAGTTGGTGTTTAAGAGATATTACACACTCTTATCCTAACTTGGGGTTTGAATCTAGAATTTAATTAAGATATGACACACTTAATTAAATATCTAGAACCTAAAACTCACACTTAAGATAACCACTCTTAAGATATAGAATTAGGGATTTGGCTAAAATAGCATCACACTATTTTATAAATACTCAAAGAGTAAAAGGAGTTTTTAATAATTCAGGGATGATCATTACAAGGGCCAAATGGCCGAAATATATAAGGAAGGGAGAGGAGGGAAAACACACAATATAATGAATGCAAATACAAGGAACCTTCCTACATCCCTTTATCATTCACTAGCTTCCAATCTTGAGTTGATAAGGGCTGATTTTGTTTGACTTTGTCTTGGCTTTGGAGCTGGCTTTGTCTGTCCTGTTGTGGAGGCAAAAATCACAAAGAATGAATGANGGTGGATATTCTGGCTAAAAAGAGGGGACAAACAAAGATGGGTGATGGATGGTGTATTGGCCTTATATTCTTGGTCATATGAGGTGACTGATTTAGTAGGTGGTGTATCAACAACAACTCAAATGTCCCTTGGCTTTTTGTGGTTGTTTATTCGGCCCTAGTAGGGAACATAAAGGGGACAAGAATGGGGAATATCTTGGTTGATGTTGTGTTGGGATAATGAGGGATATTTGGCCTGAGATTTATAGAAAAGGATAGAAGGTTTTATTTGTTTATTAAAAGGTTTAAAAGAAAGAAAATAGCAACAAACAAAAGGTTGTGGTTTACACACTCTTATTTTCGGCCAGGGCCTAAAATAGGAGTAGGAAAACTTTATTTTGAAAAGGAAATATTTTGGATGTTTAGGGAAGGTATGGAGAGTGTGGGCTCAGCCTAGGGTGGGTGTAGGACAACCATGGTGTTGGGTTGGGTTCTAAGACAGGAAAATGGAGAAGTTTCAACCCAATTAATGTCACCACACTTGGGCTTTATTCCCCTGATCTGTCTTTCCCTTGGCGGGCTACGGAGAGTCTTCGGGCATGCTCCCGGATATATATCAGCTGGTGTCTGGAAGCAACTAATTGGTTGGGACTTGATGTAGTCCATTATTTTTCGGAAGGTAAACATTATCAATAATGACTCTTTTATGCCTCATTGGCAATAGATGCATTTGTGATGAGTTCGGAATGGGTTGACATATTTCATGCACTTCCATGTTGAAGTTTTAACCAATCCGTTTGTCCTTCACTGTTCAATTATGCGTATGAGTTTGATTCCACGGTTCCGTTTACGACAAGTAATCATATAATGCTACCACCTACCAATATGTAAGAGTTCCTTGTTTATAACACAGCATTGCCACTGATCTCTGTTCCTCACAGATTATGCATTTCATTTTTAAGAGAACTTCATTTTTCATTCTTTCACATGTTTTCAATTAAATTCTGTCATATTGTCATGTTTCATAATTCCATGTTTGTTGTGTAAGACCAATCATGTGATGGAACATGGACATAACATGAATGGTGACAGTTTAAGATTTTACTTTTCATTATTTCTTCTTATGAAAGTTGTGTTAAGAAGGGCTTTCGGCATAAAACACTGCCACGATGTTTTTTTTGTCATGACTTCATAGTGTTAATTATTTTTGTGTTATTAATTAATAATTAATCAGCTGATTGACACTAAATTCAATGCCACCAAATCCAACTAGGTGGGATTAAGGTGCTAATTATGATGATCATGCTTGCACGTCGCAGTTCAGTTCTGGCCTGATCTTATCACCTGCTCCTTCTTCCTCTTCCTCTCACGCTTCCCTTTTTGTTTTTACTCTGTTTTTTTTCTTCTTCCAGTTAGCCAAAGTAGATTGTCCAAGAGATACTCACTTTTGGGTATATGATGATGGTTCATATGAAGAAGAAGGCCAAAACAGTATTAGAGGAAACATATGGGAGAAGGTTCTCCTGTAATCCTTTATAATTATTATGTTATTAAATTCCATTGAATTCAACTCTTAAGTCATATTGTTGTTATATTCATATGTTATAAGTTGCAGTTGGATTTCTTGTTAGGCAGGCATTCACTCGTTTCCTATGCTCATTATGGTCATTGCCCATTCCCCTTGCAAATACTCAAGGACCAATAGAGGGTGGAACTACTTTTTCAGGGAGGTCTCTGCCTGGTTCTTTGGAGCATAGCGAGTCTCAGAAACTTTTGCTATTTGGGTTGGAGGGATCTGGGACAAGCACTCTTTTTAAGCAGGTATGCCATCATATTTCCTTTTTTTTTTGAGAGTTTGGATACACTATTCAGTTTGCAGCTACAACTATTTTATTTGCTTTATTTTTTTGTCCTAACCAAGTAACCATGCATTTTTATTTATGATTTGGAAAAGTTCACACCAATACTCCAGAAAATTGTTGATTTTACATGAACACTCCCAAAAAAGAAAATTAACACCAATCATGTGAACTTCAATTTTAAATCATGTGAATACTCCAGCGTTAACTGAGCTGGAATTCCGTCCAATTATTTCATACGTACTTTCTGATTTTGTAAATTACTCTAAAGCTTGGTCCTAAGTGTACATCTTTTTTTGAAACCAGTGTACATCTTAATTACTCTCTCCGTCCTAAATCAATTGTCTCGTTGCAAATTATGATGGTAGATTGAATTTATTTTCAATTCAATTTATTTAAATAATGGTAAAAAATTCAAAATAAAATTATATATTAAGAACTACATTAAATTCTGTATAAAATAAGAGGTGACGTGACTATGCTATTTTTAAATATGATTAACAAAAATAAGTAAAGAAAGAAAAAAACTGACCTTGAACAATGAAGACGATTAATTTTGAAAAGATGGAGTACTACGGGGTCTAGTACGCCTTAAGATTAAAAATTAAAGCCTAATCCAACTAAAATAAAATGTACTACTTTTCACAACAATTGCTTTTTGGATGGTTTAGGCCCTTATCAAGCGTGAGATTTATACTCGTGTTGTACATATAGATGTATACAACAACAACAACCCAATTGGATCCCACGAAAGTAGGGTATGTAGGGTCTGTGGAGGGGTGTGTGTATGCAGACCTTGCCCCTACTCGAAAGTAGAGAGACCGTTTCCAAGAGACCTCGGGCTCAAGCTGCCCAAATAAAAAGATCCTAGGAAATAATAAAGCATAGGAGAATTACCACAATAATGATGCTCCAAATTCTTTAGTTGTACACGTAATTTAAATTTTTTTTATCTAGTAACAGAAATGGAAACAAAAAACCAAGATAAGTTAACCCAAAAAAAGAAGAAATATAATCACAAAGAAATTGGTATTGAAACACTTGAGATACTAGGAAGCAAAGCTGCATATGTATGTAAATAATAATTTTTCAAAAGAATAAACCTTGGAGAAACCCACTTTGCACAAAGTTTTGTACTCCAAAGGCAAACAGACTCATTTTTTAGTGTAGAAACTGAACATTTTATGGTGGAGAATAATCTTTTTTTCATTGAATGCTCATTTGCAAATGTTGGATGTACAATGATCAAGATACATCCGGATGCATGATATTCTTGTATATGTTTTATCAAGTGGATTAAATATAGGTTTTTAAAGTATTGATCATTTATGCCGTACTTCCTTCACTCGTAAATTGAAATACCTTTGACTTCACCTAAGTTTATTTCTTGATTGATTTCTTGGGGACGGAGAGAATACTTTTTGATTTCCTAATTGATTTTATTTTTCTTGTTTCCCAAATTATAGTGGGCATATGTGTAAATTTAACATAGCTCAAAGTGTTTAGTCGCGGTTTATAATGTTTTGTTGAACTTATATTCAACTTAGTTTATTTATAAATTGGTGTAGAATAAAAAAAATAATTTTCTTATGTATTAGCGTTTTGGATATTTTTAATGGTGTAAATTAACTTTGGAAATGTTGAAGTCAAATATTTCCCTTATATAACCTTTTCAAAATGCTGAAACTATTACCAAACGGACTTATTATTATATCAAATAACCTATTAAAATATAGTTTAAAAATCAAGATATAGTTTGATTTTAGGAAAAATTTTCAGCAATACTCCGAAAAATTTACGATCTCACAAGAATACTCCAAAAATCAATTAATTACATCATTACTCCCACAATTACTCTATTTTTACAAAAAAACTCCACCCGCCACCTCACTTGCACAATCATATTGTGTAATATTTACATTAGTTTTTAAACTGATGACTTGGAAAATAAATTACTTTTGTTCAGTTTCCATACAAAAAAATAAATTACTTATTCTCCCTCCAACTCAAATATCAATCTCGATCCTAATTTAAGAAGTTATTTTTTTGGGTTGGAAAAGTTAACTTCTAAATTTTTATCTCTTTTCTATTTTTTCCCACTCCTTATAGTTTCATCCAACATTAAATTTTAGAATTCCAACCGAAAATGACATGCCTTAATTGTGAGAGACGTGATTGATATTTGAGTTGGTGGAGGAATAAATATTTTTTTTTATGAAAACCAAAAAAGTAATTTTTTTTCAAACCATCACTTTAAAAATCCATTTAGATATTACATGTATTTATTGTGCAAGTAGGGTGGTGGGTGGAGTGTTTTTGTAGAAAAAGAGAGCAATTTTGGGAGTAATGCCGTAATTAACTAATTTTCAGAGTATTCGTATAATATCAGAAATTTTTCGGAGTTTTGTTGTGAATTTTTCTTTGATTTTATGAATAGCGAAAATAAGCTATTTCATAAACCCAAGAAGTCTAAGCCAAAACAAAATGAAGACTTGTGATTAAAAGTCAAGAATTTCAAATACGATATAGATCTCCTCCGTATAATTTAAAAAAAAAATTATGAATTTTTTACGGTGTTTCAACCTATTGGAATATTGATGTGAGTTATTCCTTATGATTTTCATAACCATGGGATTTTTAAACCTTCAGTTTTGTGAACAGTGTTTAGTTTCTTTGGTATTATTAGTTTCAGATTTTTTTTGTAATTACCATCCAAGATTATTGGGTGTAGAAATATTTTTATTACCGTTCTAATGTTATTTGTTGCTTGAGACTACCTGTCATTGATTTGAAGAAGAGTACTTCCCTTCCCCCTAGCAGTTTTATTTAAAGCAACACTCACTATTTCTCTTTTGTTTTATTATATTGCAATGCCAATATTTAATTGGATGAATGCTGAACGTAACCCTTTGCATGGATAAATGTTAAGAACTATTGCTTTTCTTGTTGTATTTTCACTCCAACTTTTGAAACATTATTGCATTTCAGCTTAAATTTGGTAAAAATTGACTTCTATGGTTGTCATGTGGTGTCATAACTATCAATATCCATTCATTTTGAAAAATTTACGTGGCGTACTATTAAGCTCCTCTGCCATCATTATACCCTACAATTGCAAATTTAACCTTGGCCTTAGAGTAGATAAAAAGTTTCTAATATGTTTCTCCTGTAAGGAGTGTGCTAGTCAGCACATACTGTGATTGTGATGTCTTAGGAAATATATTCGTGGAAACAAAGAAGAATGAGATGTTGGTAGTTTTATCTATTTACCATAATTGAAATTTGAGTATTAGATTGTTTTTGTTGGAATTTTGTCAGTTTTCCATAAAATGCTATCCTGGTTATCTTCAAAACTACTTTGGCTCTCATATTTTAGGTTGAATAGATATTAGTATTGGCCATTATTTAGGGTGAAATTACTAAAACTGAAAGAATCCCGATAATGGATAACCGTCAGCCCTTTTTGTTCTAACATTTTGATTTGTTTAGCCATCACATATTCAAATCCATTCTGTCTCGAAATTTGTGCCTCCTTTCTATTTGGTAAATAAATTTTCAAGAATTGTGTTTCCATCTTCCACTATAGATTACTGAAGTAGTTAAAGCTGCTATTTTGAGGAGTTAAAGGCATTGCTTCAATCATCAGCCCTTCTAAAAGGTTCTCATATTATAAGTTGGGTATAAACGGGGTTTTGCCAAATTTAATGTAAAGTTACCAAAATTGAAGGCATTTTCAATAATCGTCAGCCATTCTAAAATTTAGATTTGTTTAACCATCACCATAGTAAGTTTTATTGTTTGGGAATTCGTGCATCCTTTCTTATTGGTAAATAAATTTTCAAAACATGTCTCTTTCCATTTTAGTCATCAAATTACTAGAGTAGTTCATGAGAAGGAAAATGATCCATGGTTGAGAAGCTATTTTCTTAACATACCTAGGTACTCATAATTGGAAAAAAGTTAATTTGGTCCACCTATTTTTTCATGCTTAGCTGTTTGTCTCATTGGCATTTGTGAGCTAATATGATCCTCAACTATCCCAAGAATGCTCATTCTCAAATATCTCAAAATCTTGTTTGAGGTCCTTTGGTGGTGAACCTAGTATTCATGTCCACATGTTTAACCAAGTGTTGAATGAAAATTTGTTATCTAATTGCACCAACTTTCGGACAACAAATTTAAGTAGCTATTAGTTGAGTCTTCATCAGTGGACTAAAATTGCCATACTTTGGAGGATTTGAAGGTGACATTTGCTCACACATCATCAATTCACCATTAGAATAACAACTATGCCTTAATCTCAATTCAACAGGGTTGACTACATAAACCAAATAAGATCTCCTAAGGCAACTGTCAAAATCCTCATTTTCTAGTCTTGCTGGCTTATACTCCCTCCGTCCCCAATTTGATTACAAATTGCGGGTTACGGAGTAAAATTTCCTACTTTTTGATTAGTAAAATAAATGTTTAACCATATAGTTATTCAATATTTTTAATGTATAATTTTTTGATGCAGTTTTCAAGATGTTTTATTCTCCACTGTTCTTATAAAATAAAATAGTTTATGAACTACTTTAGCGCATAACAAACAAAAGTTATCGAGAGGAGAGAGAAAAAAAAATTGTAATCAAATTGGGGACGGAGGGAGTACTTTTTTGTAAGGCTCCAATACTCCATCCTAGGTCATGTTTCTTGTCAAAAGACATGTGCAGACTAACGTATCCATACTTTATCTTCAATGGCCACTATAATCACTCTCTTGCGAATCTCCTATTTTGCCACTATCGTTTCTAGTCTCACAACATATTCATCTCAGTGTGTGCATCTTCACATAGTGTCACACTTATATTTAGTATTATATTCATATTCATTGCCTTAGAATTTGATCCGTTTTCTTAAGCCGTCTATCGTATAATACAAAATCTAAACCTTGTGGAATCGGTGTCGGCGTCTGGGGTCAAGATGTACACATCCTTGTCCCAATAAAAAACAGAGACCGTTTCGGTAAGACCTTTGATGCGTTGCTGCCTTTACTGCCCAAAACATCGTAAAATGTAGAAGCAAAGGAAGTTTAATCAGCCATTGTGATTTAGTTCATTATTTATCCAAAGCTGAAACGTTTTCAATGTTAACTCTTTTTGCTTCATGGGCAACATACAGTAGTCCTATAATAACCTGTTAAGATTTTCTATTCATACTTAAAGTAACATGACATTTCAATAATCCGTTCTACTTGAGGTAGGTTTATGCACACTTCACCCCTACCTTTAAGGTAGAGAGGTTTTTTCCAAAAGACCTAAACCAAATCTATTTAATGATATCATTTGAGGGATGTAAATAATTATTCCCCATTCCAAGTAGTACACAAACAATTCAAGGATAGACATAAACATGTAATGCAGATTTCCCTGACTTCCTTTTAAGTTTACTTTGACCCTGGTTGATAACCTTAATGAATTCGATTCCAATGCAACACAGATGAAGTTTATTTATGGAACTAAGTTTACTATGGATGAGGTACAAAACCTAAAGCTTCTTATTCAAAGCAACATTTATAAATACCTTGGCATCTTACTTGAGGGTCGAGAGCGCTTTGAAGAGGAAGCCTTGAGGGAGAAGAACACATCTTTGCAAGGTGAAAATCTCTCACCAGGTTTTAATGCCTCCATTGCCTCGTTATAGTTTCTTGATCTTTCCTTTTGTGCTTCAATTTCTTTACATAGATGTTGGAAGGCTCTAGCTCTTTGCAAGTAGCAAAATTTTTGACGAAGTTTTAAAGCCTGATTACAGTTTGTGGATCTTTTATTTTGTGCTGCATTTGCGTTACACAGATGTTGGTAGGCTCCAGCTCTATATTGCGGTTTTTGATCTTTTGAATGCAGATCTTTCTACTTCTTTTTGTAATAAGAAAAGAGCTATTATATGTATGCAATGTTGTGATTCTTTAGTGCATTTGGCTAGAATGGTTTCCCCACAATGGTTTCACATGTGGTTTTTAAGCTAATGAAAAGTAGTAGTTTTTGTTGTTTGTTATTTTTAGATCTGCTGATTTGTCAGGAAACATACTCCCCCTCTCCCTACCCTCTAATGTAATATATAATACTCTATATGTTTGTGGCAGCTGATTTCTAAAGTAGTTCACTATCCATGTACTCATTCAGGTGATATAAGAAATGGAAGTAAGACATGCATATATTCTCTCAATCAAAGGCTGAAGCAGTTTTCCGACTGGCTGTTGGAGATCGTGGCTTCTGGGGATCTGAATGCCTATTTCCCTGCTGCAACCCGTGAATATTCCCCCCTTGTGGATGAGATATGGAAAGATCCAGCCATTCAAGAAACATATAAGAGGATAAACGAATTGCATTTCCTTCCTGATACAGCAAAATATTTTTTGGACCAGGCAAGCCTAGTTTTACAATCTTATGGTCTATAAAATGGACTCTGTTTCTACACCAGAATGATGCTCAATCATAGGACATGTTATTTGTCAAGTAGATGGACTGTGTCTTCTTTGTTGCTCAAGCTAGGAGCCTTTTGGAAACAACCTCTCTACTTTCGAGTAGGGGTAACCGGTAACGTCAGCTTAAGCACACCCTACCCAGACCCTACCTTCAAGGGATTCTTTTGGGTTTGTTGTTATTGTTGTTGACTTGTTATGACCTGTAAAATGGACACCTATGGATATACCCGAAAGAAAGAAAAACAGCATGGAAGGAGAGAATTCCTCTTCTGCACTTGTGTGTTTTCATGGAATAAGTTTGCTCCATATGTTTTTAGTTAGTTAGTTTACTCATATGCTTTTCTTTGGGACTTGGATTATTAATTATACAGCGTGGTTGTTTCTACTGAAAAGTGTGTAGATTCATGTTAGAGCATGTTCTCTTCGTTTGATGTAATTGGTTCAGATCTGAATTTATTAAGGTCCGATTTGATCTGATTCTTTGTGATCTGATCTGATGTGATCTAATTGCAGCTAAAGTTGTCCCCTATATGTTTCTGGCATGATTTGATCCGAATCAGAATCTATCTTTCTAATTTGATCTGATATGATTACAATAATAATAAGTAATAAAAAGAAGTTGAAGAGAATATGCCTTAGTCGCTGCTTGTTTTGGCATTCTGCTGATGTGTCTGCATTCTAAGTAATTTGACTTGCACCAACAGGTCATTGAGATTTCGAGTAATGAGTATGAGCCTTCAGAAAAAGATATCCTGTATGTCGATGGCATGACCCCCCCTAGCAATGGACTTGCCTCAATTGAGTTTTCATTTGACGATCACTCTGCAAAATCGGACGTGTTTGACGCGGAATGCCAACGCCCACTAAGCAGGTATAGTTCTTTCACTTTGTTCTTAGCTTCTCTAGCTACCGGTTATAGAATTATGAATCTAGTCCTTTGAAATTTATTATGAAGTCTTCTCTGCCTCCCTCCCCATCAATCTTACAGGTACCAGCTGATTCGTGTTAGTTCAAAGGGACCACACGACTTTGGGAAATGGATTGATATGTTAGAAGATCTGACAGTGGTAGTCTTATGTGCGGCACTGAGTGACTATGACGAGGCCTGGTCCCTTGGTCAAGGTCCGCCCGAGAACAAGATGCTGGTAACCAGAGATTTGCTGGGGGGTTTGGTCCGACACAGCAGTTTCAAGAACACGAGGTCCGTGCTTGTCCTGAACAAGTACGATGTCTTTGAGGATAAAATCAGCAGAGTGCCTCTAACGGCGTGCGAGTGGTTCAAAGAGTTCAGACCTTTGAAGTCAAGCGGCGGCAACCAGTCCCTACTAGCAAATGAAGCCTATCACTACGTAGCTCACAAGTTCAAGGAGTGGTACTCTTCCATCACTGGAAAAAAGCTCTATGTCTGGTCATGTAGGGCCCGGGAACGGTCATCGGTGGATGAAGTGTTCAGGTACGTGAACGAAGTGGTTAAGTGGGAGGTAGGTAAGGATAGAATGTGCAGTATGGGCGATGACAACAGTGACAATTCCCTGTCTAGTAGTAATGAATGAATGAATGAATGATCTGTTCTGCATGCATAATTTACTTGCAGAGACAGAATATAATAATAATCTCTTGGCCCTTGGCTACTTTTTGAACCTCCAAGGGAATATTACTTCTGACTCGAATACCCCAAAACAAAGACTATTGAATGACAAATAAAAATGCCGCTTAGTTTGTACTGGTTGTTGTGTATGTAACCAATCCATCAGGTTTTCTTGGTTTCTCGGCTTTCTATTATTTATTTATTTATTTATTTATTTATTATGAGACACCATATCAGACTAGATGAAATGAGACAAATTGGCTATGTTTGGTAACCGAAACAGGGACCTGCTTTGGCCTAAAAGAGTGTTTGTATTGGGAAAAAATAAGTGTGTTTGGAAGGAAGAAATATTTTTGCCAATAAACTCTTTTCTATTGTTAATATTTGAAAATTGATATTTAAAAAAAAGTTTGAGAAAACTTTATATATTTTAGCAGTGTAGGGGGAGAATGTATATGGTACAACCGGTTGTACCACAAATAAGGTATAATCGGGTAATGCTCATTCTAAAATAAAGTAGTACTCATTCTCGCATCAACATAAATATTCATTTTGAAATGGCGTGGTACTCATTCTGAAATAACGTAGTACGCATTTTGAAATAACTTAGTACTCATTTTCACATATTTATTTAATACAATTCTAATATTTATTTACGAATGAATAACGTAATGTTCATTCTGAAATAAAGTAGTATTCATTTTCAAATAAAGTAGTGTCTATTGTTAACTAACTTACCGTTCATTGTATTAAAATCTCTTCAAACCTCTTGAATTGTAATTTTTCTTCTCCACTAAAATCTTCATAGTCCCACCTACGAGGTTTCCAGCTTCAACGGTAACTCCGCCGCCTTCGATTCACTAGCTGCCCTTCTCCACTATTTTTGCCACCATCGTTCTTCGTGCCTCCTGTCGTCTGTGTGCCTCTCCCTCCTTCGCCGAGCTTCTTCGATCCTCACCCTCCCTTCATCGTCTCCCCTCCTCCTTCGCCGAACTTCTTCGATTATTGCATTTTTTCGGTTTCTTTTACCGGTTTTACCCAACTTTGGGTGCAACCAGTTGTATAATATACTTTGCGGTGTAGGGGAGGGGTGGCCGGTGAAGAACGAGAGTGTATATGGTACATCCGGATGTACCTCTAGATGTACCTAAAGATGGGTACATTCGAATAGTACTCATTCTAAAGTAAAGTAGTACTCATTCTCACATAAAAATAAGTATTTATTTGAAATAATATAGTACTCCTTCTGAAATAAAGTAGTTCTCATTTTAAAATAACAAAGTACTCATTTTCACACATTTGTTTAATATAATTATAAGAAATAGCGTAATGTTCATTTTAAAAAAAAGTAGTACTCATTCTCAAATAAGACAACGCTCATTCTCAAGTAAAGTCTGAAAAAGTGGTTTTAATTGAATAAGATTTGAGAGACCGAGACTTTGGGTCTTCTTCGATTTTGGCTCGATAGGGGACGGGAATCGAAGATAACAGAGGACTGTATTCTTCTTCGACGAGAGGCGAACGGAGGGCGAACTGGAGGAGGGCTACCTCTTCTTCTTCGATCGACGCTGGACGCCTGGAGGGAAAACGAAGCACTGTTCTTCGATTGAGCATATCAGCGAGGGAATCAAACAAAGCACCTGGATGCACGGCTGACGAAGAATGGAGATCCCTTGCCGGACAGTGACGCTTTGCGAAAGGGAATCTAAATTCGATTCTCTGCTCCCAATCCGATCTAATCTCTGCTAATTTCCTCCCATTGTACAGTTTTTTCTGTACAACCGGTTGTAGGATATAATTTGCACTCAAGCATGAGAGTATGTATGTACATCCGGATGTACCTAGAGATAGGTATATCCGGGTAGTACTCATGCAGAAGTAAAGTTGTACTCATTCTCACACAAAAATAAGTATTAATTTGAAATAACAAAGTATTCCTTCTGAAATACATTAGTACTCATTTTGAAATAACGAAGTATTTATTTTCATACATTTGGTCAATATAATTATAATAAATAGCGCAATGTTCACTCTTAAAAAAAGTAGTACTCATTCAATAAGGAAATGTTGATTCTCAAGTAAAGTCTAAAAAGTGGTTTTAATTGAATCAGATTTGAGAGACCGAGACAATGTGTCTTCTTCGTTTTTGGCTCGATCAAGGACGAGAATCGAAGATAACGGAGGACTGTATTCTTCTTCGAAGAGAGGCGAACGGAGGACGGACGGGAGGAGGGCTTCCTCTTCTTCTTCGATCGACGCTGGACGCGAGGAGGGAGAATGAAGCACCTGTTCTTCGATTGAGCATATCAAAGAGGGAATCAAACTTGGATGCACGGCTGACGGCGAAAGGAGAGCCCTTGCCGGACAGTGATGCTTTGCGGAAGGGAATCTAAATTCGGTTCTTTGCTCCCAATCCAATCGGATTTCTGCTAATTTCCACCGGTTGTATAGCTTTTCTGTACAACTGGTTGTAGGATATAGTTTGCAGTGAAGCACACTAGGGCTAGAAGCTAGTAAGCAATGCTATTGGATCTGGTCCGATAGGTTGGACCATGACAACCAGATAGTAATTTGTTCTGGTTCAACACCTAAACCCGGTAATGAATTAACTTGCCCCAACTCAGTGGACCTGTTGGACTGGGTCAACCTGCAGGCCATGGGTTTTTGAACCGAAAACCTTTTTTTTCCTTTAGTTGTGTACTCACAAGATAAAGAAAAAAATACTTGGAGAATCATATTTATTGTAGACCAAAGACACACCAAGATAATAATAGACACACATACATCAAATGTCTATGTGTTTATGTTTGTCTTCTCTTACATCTAATGGGATTTCCCTAGCTCCCCTCCAAAATAAAATGTTGACAATAGGATTCAAACGGAAAACCTAACACATCATTCCACCAGTCAAACAACCAATACAATTCTCTCCCTTTCAATTTAAATCATCTTTTGTTGCTTACGAGATTTGTCTAAATTTATTTTCATTTTAATTTATTTGAAAATTTTTAAGGAATTAAAAAATAAAATTTATATATTTAAAAATTATATAAAAAATTCTAAAAAATAAGAGACGAAAAGACTATATTAGTATCTGATCTTAATTAAATGGGTATAAAAAATGGACAAAGAATATGGTTAAAATTTGACTCTATAAATAATCAAATGCAATAATTTAAATAAGGAGGAGTAATAAACAACTTGTTACCAAAGGCATGCAAAAGCATATATGTTGTCTGTATGACATATGGATTTCGTAAATTTAAAAAAAAAACTTAATAACTAGTATTTGTAAATCAACATGTTTGTGTAGTATGTTCATTTTATGAATTTTTAAAATAATTCAAAGTAAAAAATAATCATTATTTCATACTTTGAATTAATAATGAATACTCCATCCTTTTGAATCTTTTCAATTTTTTTGAGTCATCCCTCTTGAATTTTCGCACTTAATTTAACAAGTCTCCCCACATACAATGACAACTTTACCCCTATTTAACTTTACCCCTATTTATTCCATTTAATCTCTCCTCTTCCTTCTCCCTTCATCGCCAAACTCTCTCTCACTCACCCTCTTTCTCTCTCTTGAAAGGGTAGTATTGGAAAGTCAATAACTTTATCACTCTACATTATAACAAGCGCAAAGTCTGAGAGGGAAGATTCTAACGGAAGAGAGAGTAATTCATACATAAACACATACTCCCTCTGTCTAAAAAAAGAATGTCACACTTTACTTTTTAAAAAATAGTGAGAACTTTTGTTTATTAGTGTGTTTTTATTGATTATTTCGTAAAATAAAATATTCTTGTCACTTCATATTTTATAGAATTTTTAACGTAGTTTTTACATATGTAAGTTTTATATTTTTTTTCTATACCAATCTTTAATTAAAATGAATTAAAAAAATTTAAAATTTCACTTTGTTTTGTGTAATGTGACATTCTTTTAGGGATGGAGGGAGTGTTATAATCTAGAAAATCAAAAAATATCTACTAATTATAATAAAAAAATAGAAAGTATGAAAGAGTATATGAACATTAACATTGAAAACTAGATTGAAAAGAAAAAGGAAACAAATTTAAATTCATTTATTAACTAAAAAATTTAATTTTCATATTAGCGTAGCATAAAATATTTTTATTTTAAAAATAGTTAATCGGTTCGTTGACCCGAGTCGATCGATTCAACCGGTTAGGCATTGACCCAGTTGCACATCTAAGTGAATATTGCTAATAGGGAGGGGGCATATGGGCGGACAAGGGCGGCGTGTGGGAGCGAAAAGTGAATAGGAATTTTCTTTTGAAAGACACTTAAATCATTTTTTCCTTGTTGAGAGAAAATATTTTCTTAATATAATCCCTCCATCCCGCTATATTCGTCCACTTTTGACTTTTGTAACTGTTCAGCTAGGCACTTCGACTCATCAAATTCTCTCAATGTGTAAGCCTAAATATAGTCATGTGTGATCTTGTTTGATTTGTCTTAAAATATAGATTATTAATATATAATTTCTATAATTTTTTAATATACAAATAACAAGATAAAATGGTTTAAAGAAGTGTATTGGATGATGTGTAAAAATGAAAGTGGACAAATACTCCGGAACGGAGGTAGTATATGTTATCAAATGTAGGAAATCAAAATAGAAATCACCCTAAATAGGACTAAAACATAGAGAAAAGTATCAAAATAGGACTTCCATGTTTTTTTCCCGAAATAGGACTTTGCACTGTGGTAATGTGGCAGTGTACATGTGCACATTACTATACTTTTTTGGTAATGTATATGACCATGTTTGGTAATGTAAGTCCTATTTCGGGAATAAAAACATGGAAGTCCTATTTTAGTATATTTTCAATGTTTTAGTCCTACTTTGGTCTTTCTCCCAAATCAAAATTAAAATTTTTCTGAATTTTTTTTTTGGCCTCGACTAAACACAATCTAATTATTTTTGTCCATTTTATAAGTTGGGTTTGGTAAACACATAGTTCAATATTTAGTTAACTCCAAAAATTTTTGTACTCTTTTGGACTATACTAATTTTATGGACCATAATAAATAAAATGGTTGAACAATGCCTTTGAAATCTTTTGGATAGAGCTCAAATGACTTTCTCCCATGCCTCTCAATTTGAGAGGGCATGGATGCCCTTCCACCATTATTTTAATATGTGGACTATTTTATGATTAAGCTTATTAGTATTAACTAGCATGGGACACACTTCGTGTGTGTGTGCCAGATATAGATATATTAACTAAGTATAAGTATATTAATATTAGACAAAAGAGTGATTGTTACATTAGATGTAATATATTACAAATTACAAACTGTATTAGTAGGACTTACAAAATTTGGAACTTACTTCGTTCCAAAAGAGTGATTGTTACAAAAGAGTGATGGTTATATTAGATGTAGTATATTACAACTTATAAACTGTATTAGAGGGAGTGACAAAATTTGGAACATATGTTGTTCCCTGTAGTCGGGGGTTAGTAGCATTAAGTAAGTTTTTAACAAGGGGCTAGGTAGTTATACATGACAAAATGCAGTGCACATGCACTGAACAAAAGTTTCCAACTTAGCAGGATTTAAGGCCAAAAGGCTTCTACCATGATGAAATGGCTCAGCACTGTTTTTTGGGACTGGGTTCTTCCACTTTCAGCTTTCTCTTAAGGGTTGGACATGTTGTTTTTTCATCACGGAGGTCGTAAAGGCATTGAACTGAGAATATCTTCGATGGAGATGTTTGTTCGGTGCGAGGTGGTAGTTTCACTGCAGCTGTCACCTTCTGAGATTCAAGACTGTTGTTCAAATCCACGCATTTTATGAACTCCATTGGTGTATTCAATTCAAGTGCTCGTACAATCTTTTCAAGTGTGTCGGTGAAGAGTGTGACCTGTAGAGCACTAAGCTCATCTTTTATTTCGGCCAGAATTCTGAATCTGTAATGATTTGTAAAATTGTTAAAGAAATGTATTCATAATGTGAAACCACAGATTTGAAAATAGATTCCGTGCCTATTGTGGTAAAGAGGAAGTGGTTACCTCTTAATTGTTTTTGCTTCAGGGTCACCACACAGCATGCATTTAAAATTGATTCCTTCTATGTAGTTTACTTTTCTATTGCAGCTGCTGCAACCAATGTAGAATGTAATGTCTCCAGCTTCTAAGACCTGCAACTGTCCTTCAATCCAGTGGACATCCTCCTATATGATTATGTATTATATTTGTATATGTTTAAATTAAAGTGTGACATGCATATTAGAAGTTCCCAGGATGTATCCAGCATATTAAGTAATGCTTAGCGCCCAGGTGGTTTAACCTAAGGCACGTCGTAGGCGGTTGTTATTGTCGCCAGCGTGTGCTAATTGTGCTTTGCGTTTGGAGCAACTCAGAAGTGATTTTTTGTGGGAATGAGTTGAATAACAGATTTGTTTAATATAGTTCAACTCATTCTGTCTATTTACCTAAACTCCAAGGATTAGTTATACCGGGCAACATTTGTATTCCAGTTTAAAGGATGCTTATCACACAGAATGAAGGATCTAACAATTGGGCTTCCTAGAAATGAGGATTATCCTTAGCGCAAAGTTTCATTCAATGGTAGGCCTACTCAAGTGAAAGGGGGTTTTGAACCATTCCTGTCCATTTTTTACTCAAAATGAGTGGTGTATGAAGGTCCCTGAGGACATGCCTCATAACCGATCGGTTAATTTGTTCAGTCAGATGGGTAATAAAACAAGGTTTTTAATCAATTCATAACTATATGGTTACAGTGAAAGAATTTACAGGGAAGGTACTGTAATCAATTCATAAAAGAAGGACAGAGGTATTGTAACTTCATATGGTTCGAGTGTAAGAATTAGGAATTTACAGTGCAAGAATTTACTGTGAAAACCGTAACACAAAACGAAAAAGAATTTACAGACAAAGTTGCGGGGTAGTTTAGAAAGCACAGTTCCAAGTAAAGTTTTTCCTTTGCTCCCTATATTACTATATTACTTTAGTTTCTTCTAGACAGAAATAAGCATGGAAATATAAGCATGAAATCAACCAAGAACACAAAAAATGATTTTTATGCTCTATGAAGAGTTTAAAGTTGAAATCAGTTTTTATGTTATGTTTGCATCAGTCGAAAGCATGTAGTGTTGGAGCTAAAATGAAAACCAAATAAGAATGTGATTTAACCACCAAATTACCATACACTCCCTATTCTGTGATAAATCTCAAAATAACTTGTACCATACAAAAATCATAAAATGGTTAGAAAGCTGCAGTTTCTATGCCAAAGGTTTTAATCCTAGCTTTGATTTGATTTGATTATAAAATTACCCATTGCATGTATAATTTTTGTTCATATTAGGAAAGCATTCTGAGAGAGAGACCTACGGCGATGGATTGCAGAAACATAAAAATAAAAACACCAAACACCAACCAACAAATCAACAAGCACCCAAAAATCAAATGGAGTCATTTTTTTTGGAATTGGCTGAAGTTCCAAGGAACTCCAAGAATTTGACAAACCGAAAAACACTTCAATTTTTATGTAAATTCCTAAAGTTTGAAGGGATATCCAAACTTAAACCTCAATTTTTTTTGAAGTGGCTGAAGTTTCAAGGGATTTCCAATCTTTGCAAACCGAAATTGCTGTAATTCTTTTATTTGAAAGAAAGTTAGCAACCGTTGGTTTTCAGGAATTTAACACCTTGCTACTGGACTGGCTGACTGGGTTGGCTACTCCCAGCTGCTATGGGAAGAAAGCAAGGACTCCCCTTCACGAATGGGGAGGCACTTCGCTACCTAAAGAGATAGTTCATTTTTATTCCTTCTTAAGAGAAGATTCAAAGAGACAAGATCCGACCCCATGATTTAGTACTGGGAGTGACGTCTGTAATATCTTGATTTGCATCCATTGTTCTGAAAAAAAGAATGTTGTATATTAGTTTGTAATGAAATTAAATTTTGAATAGGCGACATGGATTTTAAAATATAATTAATGCGCAACGAAATGCATTAAAAATCAACAAACCTAGTGCTTCCCTATGTAAGCTATTCAATGATTTCACTATACACTATGTTTGCGGTAGCATTTGTGGTCTTCGAATTATCTATTTCATCATAGATAAGCATCTTGATGGAGGCAGCATTTTTGGCCCGCGACATTGCAACGTATAGTTGTCCATGACAGAAGACTGGTCGCCTAAGAAAGATTCCTGCGAATTCGAGTGTCTGACCCTGTGATTTATTTATTGTCATTGCAAAGCAGAGTTTGACGGGAAATTGAGTTCTCTTAAATGGGATTGCGCAACGTTCATCTCTAGACATCTCAAGTGGAATTCTTGGTATGAAGACATGCTTTCCCTTATATTCACCAAAAGCAATGAAACAACTTATCAGATGATCGTGAAATGCATCACAAATTAAGCGCGTTCCATTACACAGGCCTTCACACGGGTTTAGATTGCGTAGAAGAATTACTGGACAATTCTTTTTTAGAACTAATGTGTGGGGTGGTAGACCTGGAAATGATAACGTGTGCAACAAATCTTGGCAATTTTTGTATTTCTCATCTAGTGGTACGTCACAGCTCAGCAAGGTTTTTGATTCTCCAGAGAATTTTCCAATTATGATCGTGTTGATTTCATCGACGTACTCATTTGTAGTAGTTAATATTATTCTCCCCATCAACGTATATGGATCCTCTTGAAAAAGGTTCAAGTTTGGGTAAACAGCTGTGATCAGGGACGATAACATATCTGAACTGTCGGGGGTACGAACAAGGAATTGTTGTGGGATTTTGATGTTTGTACCACCTATAGTTGGCGTTGACCCATTTCCGATGTCCATTAAATACTCACAGAAAGAGGGATCTGCTTGCGCCCGAACATTTTCTTCTAAAGTTAGGCGTATCATCTTTGGCCAAATATGAGATGATTTTACGATACATGCATTTATACAGTCTTGTCTGTTTCCATTCCTGACAACAGGAAGTGTCTGACATAGATCTCCTCCGAAAACAATGACTTTTCCTCCGAATAGGTCATCGGAGGACATGATATCTCTAAGTGTTAAATCCAATGCCTCTATAATTCCGCGATTAGCCATTGTAATTTCATCCCATATGATGATTCGTGCTTCTTTAAGTAATGTTGCTATTGCACTTTGCTTACCAATGTTGCAGGTGTATCTATCATTTCCATCCAACGGTAATTTAAACCTAGAATGTGCCGTGCGGCCTCCAGGAAGAATAGAAGCAGCAATGCCTGATGTTGCAGTAGCTAAAGCTATCCATTTTTTGCTCCGGATGGTTGCAAGCAATGCTCTGTACAAAAACGTTTTTCCGGTGCCACCAGGGCCATCTAAGAAAAACACTGTAGGTTTGTTGGCTATCACACTCTTCATAATAGAGTCAAATGCAATCTGTTGGCCGCGATTGAGGATCTGAGCGCATTGAAGATCTTGCTCGCTTATATTTATGTTGTATTCTGCTCTTAATTCTCGTGCCTGAATTTTAGCAACTGTTAAGGGTATGGCAAATTCTGTTAGGTTGAATGTGAGAATACTTTTTCCAAGTGCTTCAGTAATATCTCCAATAAGTTTTAGTGTCATTGTTTCCATTTCCAATGGAGTGTAGATGTGTACCTGCGAAAAATCTTCATATAGATACTTTTTGTATTTAGCCCATAACTCTCTTGGATTTGGAATGTCACAAAACACCAATAGTGTCGCGAATAATCTCCGCAAACTACTGGGCATTTGATACATCACAGCCTCTTCAAGGCAAACATCAGCAGCAGCATTTTCTGTTAGAAGCCCCATTCTCTCTGCACCTTCTCGGAATGTGGATGCTGTATAACCATCTACAAGTTTTAGACTGGCAAACGATGTTGGAGCTCTTACATGTTGGAGTAGCATGCGAAGATAATATCTTTCACCCTCAATTGGATTAACACTCACAAGTCGTCCTATGACGTTTTTTCGTTTTCGTAGCGTCCACATCTTGTTTGTGTCTGACCAAACAAAAAACTCTGGGAATTGTACATAAAGAAGTTGTAGTCTTTTTGCAGTCACATCGTGTAGGTTCATTTCAAAGAATTTTGTCAACATTGTGCTTGACCTGGTGTCATCTTTCACTATTTTTATGATTCTTTGATTTCCGAAGAAGTTGATATACTGAAAGTTTTCCAGGTGTATTTGCAATTGTTGAACGGGGGGGTACATCTCGGCAATGGTGAAGGCAAATATCCTCCATGCCGCCTCTGGTGCCGAAACCCATCTTGCATTTTGATAAGATGTTATCTCATCACTGGAAGGAGCGTTTTGATCATTTGTGATTCCAATTGAAATTCTATCATGCCCTTTGTAAACATATTTATATATGTACTTCACGGATCTAACTGAAGCACATATCTCAACATTAATGTGGCAATCAAATTTCAACAAAAGTTGTGGATTATATGATACCACCCAAGAGTTATCAAGTTTGTAGCCACGTATTTCTACGAAATTAGTGCCGCTTCTCCTACGGTAGACCGGAATGAATCTTCACCAAATGATGTTTCCTCAATTAAAGATCTGTGGTACTTGTTTCTACAGGAGGCTGTTACCTGTCCCTTTTTTTTCGTCATACATGGGCAACTTTGATTAAGGGTGCCACAAGGTCCATGTATCATGTGTTTTTTAACAAGTGTATATAGACGTGGTTGATGTAGAGGGTCGGGTATTTCTGCACAAACAAACTTGTCGCATGAATTGGGACTTTGAATTTTTGCAGGAACTTTTAAGATTAAAAGAAAATGTGCATGCGGAAGGCCACGCTTTTGAAATTCAATTACGTATATGTATGCTGCAACTTCCCCAAAAAATTTCTTCTTGATTATGTCATTTTTGAATTCCTGTAAACGTGCATGAAAGACTCTACATACAAGATCCGGTCTGTTTTGCGCCTCATCTTTGTGTTGGAGATGTTCTTTGATTTCAGGCCAATTAGGATTACACGTCATTGTGACAAATAAATCTGGTTTCCCATATTGCTGAACAATTGCCATTGCGTCTAGGTAACGTTTACGCATATCCCGAGGTCCACCTATGAATGAAGCAGGTAGAACAACACGTTGGCCAACAGCATCACCGTATACCATACCCATATGCATGCTATCAACAACGCCTTGATATGTTTCAGATCTGAGGTCAAGCTGTTTTAGTCTATAATAATCCAACCGTTGGGTCTCAATCTTAACATACACATCAACCATAAACTGTTGTAAAAGCCTTCCCTGCATGAAACAGTTTTTCTCTTTCTCCCATTTTGAATATTATCTTCTTCGATTTGAATTATCTCCTCAGCAGTATGTGCAACATTAAGACCTGGCATAACAGAGGGTATTTGTGTGTTCCGTGCTAAATGTCGTTGTGAATCTGATAATACCCTGTCAATCCCTGTATGCCAACCTACTTCTCCATGAGGGAACAACAGTGGGTATTGTAATGGATCATAACATCCGTAAAAATATTGTATGTTCTGTGATTTACCACTATGAGCATAAACACGAATGTGTTTGCTTTCTGGAGTTTCTGTGTTGTTATCCTCCACCCATATTGCAGCAACTTGTGAGGCAGTAGGAGTATTATAAACTCGTTGGTCTAGACCTGGATGGTTATGTAGCTTAATGCTAAATTCTGCATCATTACATATGTCTTTCAGACTCTTAAAAAATTGAGCGTATGGGTTGTCTGAAACCACTTCAACAAGAGCAGTTACAATCTCTTTATCTAATCTATCGAATGTCTGCACTCTACCCTCAACTTGGTGATCGGTATCAAAAAAATATAGTTGTAGATTTCGAGGTGGAGATCCATTTGGAAGCAAGTCGTTCACAAAGTGATGTATTTGTCCTTGAACCTTAAAGGTGTAAATTCCTTTATTCCTCCTGCATAGATCCTTGTCATAATTATATATACCAATAGAAGTGAACGCAAACGTGTTGTTGTACGTACGGACAAGAGATTGAAATTGTTTTCCTTTGACATCATTGGCGATATATAAGTCTCTAAGAGTAGGAGGCATCTGTGTTGATGAAAGAACAACCTCACCCCGACAACAGCAAAACCCCAGAGGTTCAAACTGCATGCGGCTTGCCCCACAAAAAATATAGTCTAATACCCTCTTTAAAGAGAAAATCGTATCTTGGCATGCAAACTTCTTCAGTGAATCTATAAGAATATGATGTATAGTTGTAGGTGGAATGGTGACATCGTTATAGCATTTGAAGGAGAAAGTCGTGTTGGGAGAAACATGAAGAAGTAAGAAAATTTGGCTGAAAGTAAAGAAAGATATAAATAACTCATAAATGATAAAGGAGTTAAATGCTACACCTTGAGTGGAAGAGGAAGAATTTGAAGCGAGGTTTTTTTCCCTTTCACGTAACTCACGATATCTAAGACGACGCCTAAAGTTTATTTGCTCACGGCGATCACTCTCAGATGCAGGCTGAGTTGATGACATTCCAATTTCCATTGAATCTTTGAGATGTTACAAGCAAACTTACAGTACCTTTGAGTAAGCCTAAAATAATAAAATGGAGAGTACATACACCAATGTTTATGTTGCTAAGAGTAGTAAACATTCTATTAAAAAATAGATATTAATATATGTTAAATGCGTTTAAACATACGAAGGAAGTCTAAGCATAAGTTCAACAAATCAACACGGGGAAAGTAAGGAGTTTGATTAATTTTAAAATCATTTTATTACACGGGGAAAGTAAGCATAGATTAGAAGTGTGTAAACATACCAAAGAAGTTGAAGCGTAACTTGAAGAGGTGAAGAAAGAGCCCGAACAGTATATAAGTGACCTGTATTCAATATTAAGAGGTAAAATAAGTTAACTGTTGTACGGATAAAATTCAAAGAAGTATACCTAAACATACATAAATAGTTTGACTTGAAACCGGGTTTTTCTATGAATAACTCAAAATTAAACAGTTTTGTATACTTGCTCTAGCAAATGGAATGTAAATGATTTTCTTTGCCAGTGTAATCTATGAACCAATCTGTCCTTCCTAAAACATAAAATACTGCTCTAAAGGATATCCACACACAAAATTAAGGCAAGCAGATTTTTTTTAAGAAATAAAAATTTTCCTCTAACAAAATGTAGATTGTTGGGACTGCCTGTTTTGGCATATGAAAAGTAATGGAAATGATAGTTTTTTTGAGGAACCTTGTAAAATATGGCGACCCTTGAATATTAAGAGGTTGTTTTTTGGAAAAGTTGCGGTATATTTTAAATATTCAATGTGATTAACCAGTGTAGTATTCACATGTTGCTTTTAATATACACTCTAATTGAATAGAATTATGAACAAGCTGAATAACTTAACCCATTTGCTCTATCAATATCAAGGTAGAGTTGAAAATTTTACAATTTGGAATTGATTTATCCTTTTATTTATTTTCCAAATGTATTATTTTCATGAACTTATCCAACCCAACCAGCACCTATAGATACAATGCCTTTTAAGGTTTCAAGTTTGAATAGGATCAAATATAGTGAATTCTTAAATCTTGAAGGCCCCTAAGGTCTTAGGTATTGTCATTTCCCTGAAGAGACAAGTCTACTAAGGAAAAGGAAATGAAAAAAACTCCATGATGTATATTAGCTTACTATTTGGCATGTATATTGATAAAATTTAATTGTGTAGCTTAGATTTATTTTGATATGAATGTAAACATATCAAACATACATTTTTTTCTTTAAAAGAAGTGATAATAATATATTTTCAGACATAGAAAAATATAATGGAAAACTAATTTGGAGTTATGATTACTCAAGAGAAGCAAGAGAAAAGCACCCATTTGGGATGGAATTCAGTAGTTCCAACTGGATTTTTTCTAGGGGAATCAATTATATGAGGTGCATGAAAGGGCTGATTCATTATGAAGGAATAAGAACAAAATTTATCTTTCTTTTCCTTCCTTGCAATATCTGGAGTAATTTCATAAGCTAAATATACATAATTAATTTGTTTAGTCAGATAGGTAGTAAAAGTGAATAATTGTAGGTACAAGTGAACAAAGGTATTCTTTAAACAGATTTTCATTCATTCTCGTTTCCAATCACAGATTCAAACTGATGGGTAATAAAAGAAGGTTTTTAATCAATTCATAATTACATAATTACTCCAAATGAAGTTTTAAATGTGTGCTCATAAAAGAATTGAGAACAATGAAAACAGAAACAGAACACGGAAAAGAATTTACAGGGTTTAGTGCAGCAAAATCTGGAAATATGATAAGCTTTGGGCTGAGGTATAGCCCTAACGAAAACTTGAAGCAAAATCTAGAAAAGGAGGTCTATATAAAAAGTTGTTTAAGAAAATGGGTATTCTCTCTGGAACAGAAATTTGAGGAAGGAATCCAAAATCAAAGACTGCAGCAATTGGGTTTATCGGCTGTGCACAGGTATTGGCCGAAAATTGTTGCAAGAATAACTGGAAAAAGAAGGGGGAGGTTTACCTAGCGTTTTCCGAAGGAAGCTGAGGAATTCCGATAAAGATGAAGATGATAGAAGAAGCAAATGCATCCCAGTGAAGATATACGAAGTTAGTGGTCGATAGTGGGGCGGTGAACAGCGAAGAAGGCATTGTCGTGGGGCGGTGGGTGGCAAAGTGACCAATAGGCTTCATTTTTCGTGCAAATTAGATGAAACGGGGAGAGATGCACTAAGGCGTTAAATCAAACGGCAAAAAGACTAAGTAACGGCCGTAGGCGCTTATAGAAATAGGGAGATATCTCAATGACCGAGTATGTTTTAAATAATTCTAATTTACTCTTCATCTTTTTTTCATTGTATTTTTTCTTAAGCATACGGTTATTTTTTGTTTAAAAATAACACAAAGTGTTAAATAATTTTAAACTTTTACTCCCTAGTTCTTTTGATTTTTTTGTTTTCTTTCTTCATCCTTTTTTTTCTTTCTATTTATTCTTAAGTCTACATTATTTTTTCTTTCTGTAATATACACTCTTGGCCACTTGTTAGAGATTTTGTATTATTCATAATACCATACTCTCAATAGACCTTACAATTTTCATTTTTCAATTTTTTTCTGATAATCTACATGCTAATATTATTTCTCTAAAATCTCACACAAAGCTTGTGATCCCTTTTCTTTTTAAAGGAGACAAATATCTAACAAGAAGTCAAGAGCGTAATGTTATATTTTTAAAATCATAATTCCAAAAATTAAAACTTCTGAAAAAGTTTTGAAAAATCATCTCAAATAATCTCACCCAGAATTTATTTGCACAAAATTGACATTTTCTATAGAAATTTATCAATTTACAATTAGTTGCTTAACGACGATCCAAAACTTGCACACATGCGAAAAGGTGAAATTATTACACGCGACAGTGAAAAGTATGTTATTTTTTTGAAGAGCATGAAAAAATAGGATTATTTCAAATAATTTTTATCAAAATATATGGAATATTTTATTTATCTTTTAAAGAAAGAAAACAAAAAATCCAAAAGAACTAGGGAATAAAAATGAGAAATTTACCTAAATAGCAATAAAACATAATGACTTTCCCAATATAGGACTATATGTTTTTATTTCCCAATGTAGGACCTTTGGTCATTATCAAGTAGTCATTATTCAACTAAATGTCCATCATTGTTGGACATTATTTCTTCCATTAGGTCATTATTAAGTCCTATTTAGAGAATAATAAAGTTTAAGTCTTACATTAGGAAAGTCATTATGTTTTAGTCCTATTTAGTGCAAATTTCACAATAAGAATTCAAAATTGTTTAATACTTTTTCTTTTCATCAAAATATAACGCAACCTTAAGAAAGAAATAGAATGAATAAAGGATGAAGAATAAGTTAAAATTATCTTAAACATTCTCCATAATTGAGATATTAATACTAATAAGCTTAATCATAAAATAGTCCACATGTCAAAATAATAGTGGGAGGGCATTCATGCCCTCTCAAATTGAGAGGCATGGGAGAAAATTCCTAAATAAAATGGTTGAATAATGCCTTTGAAATCTTTTGGATAGAGCTCAGATGACTTTGAACAATGTTTTTGTAGTTGAAATCTTTGATGTTTGGGGTAAGAATTTTATGGGACCTTTTTGAACTTCTAATGGGAATGTTTATATACTGTTTTTAGTTGGATATCTTTCAAATTGGATAGAGGCAATTTCCACTAGAAGGGATGATGCTAAAATTGTTGCTTATTTTGCTCAAAGCTTGATTTTGAACAGATATGGCATTCCAAACCTATTATAAGTGATAGAGGTGCTCATTTTTGCAACAAAATTATGACTACCCTATTTTCTAAGTATCATATAACTCAAAAGGTTTCAACTCCTTATCACTTACAAACAAATGGGCAAGTAGAGGCTTCAAACAAGGAAATCAAATCAATTTTTGAAAAAATGTTTAAACCTGATAGGAAAGATTGGAGTCATAGGCTAGGCGATGCATTTTGGGGTTATAGAAATGCATATAAAACTCCTATACGGATGTCACCTTACAGTGTTGTTTATGGAAAGACCTATCATTTGCCTGGGTAACTGGGTTGTAAAAGAAGTTAACTTAGAGTATGATAAGGCTGGGAAAGAAAGGAAACTACAAATGCAAGAATTAGAAGAACTTAGGATGGATTCGTATGACACTTTTGTGATCTACAAAGGAAAATCTAAAACTTTTCATGATGTTATGTTGTCTAGAAAAGAATTTCTGACTGGGGATAAGGTCTTGTCATTCAATTTAAAAGTTAAGCTTTTTCTAGGAAAATTAATGAGTAGGTGGATAGGACCCTTTGAAGTAGGAAAGACTTATCTCCATGGTGCAGTAGAAATTAGGAGTTTTTCTACTAATAAGGTTTTTAAATTAATGGTCATAAGTTGAAGCTTAATCATACTCTGAGAAAGCTGGAATGATGGGAAAGGATGTGAGCTGCAGATGGGAAGTCTAGCTAGGACTATAAACAGGGCAGCTCCTCGTAGGCAACCCAATTCATTTTACTAAGCTTTGAACCTTTCTGCCTTTTGGTTTTGTAACACCCCAACTCGCGTAACCCAAACCAAGGAGTTAACGAATCGGGTTGCTACTAAATTGATACTCACATCACAACAATTTAGACAAATTATTCAAAAAAAAAAACATCCAAACCGTTGTGCGTAACATGAAATGAAACATCAGAATCCATAACCCAAGAATCTACATTGCTCTTCGCAACAACAGATAAACAAATTGTCGTCACTCGCGGAGTCTTCAACAATGTTCGCTTGCTTATCCTCTTTCGGGAACTGATTCCTGAAATATCCCACCTCCTTACACTTCCAACACGTTACCTGAGCTATCTCGAGTTTTTAACTGACTCCTCCTTCTGTTCGTGCTCCCATTACCTCTGCTATTTCTTCTACTTTTGACGACATTGAGCAATTCACCTGATGATTCCCATGAACTCTTTTCTTCGAACATCCTCGCCAAGAACGAGATCATGAATTTGATCGAAGGTGAACCCATCAGGTCCCACTGAGCCGTTAACCGATGTAACCGTTCCAGACCAACTGTCGGGCAATGACGATAGCAGTAACAAAACTTGAATTTCATTATCGAACTTAATCCGCACTAGCGAAAGTCTGGTTAAGATTGAATTCAACTTATTAATATGCTCGGTAAGTGAAGTTCTTTCTTTCATTTTTCTATTCACTAGCTCTCTAATGAGAACAGCCTAGTTCAACGTAGATGACTTCTCGTACATGTTAGAAGGCGCTTCCATAAATCCCTTTGATGTCTTCTACTCTTCTCCTTCAGAATGTTGAACGCAACATTCTTGGTCAACGAGAGATAGATCACAGACATAGCTTTTTTATCCAAGACTGCCCAATCTACATTCGACATTTTTCTGGCTTGTCACCCAAAACCACTTCCAAATCTTTCTGAACCACTAAATCTTCAATTTACATTTCCCACCAACTGAAATCTGTACCATCAAATTTCTCAATTCGAAACTTCCCATCTTTGGTCATCTCGAACGACTAACCGAGATACCCGGTACAACTGATTTCAGGTCAAATCTAGTAAAAAGGTCCAAACGACCAAATAATGCCCAAGCCCAATCCAAAGAAAAAAGAAGAAAGGGTTGACTAATATCACTGCTCGTTCCCTTTCCTTTTTTCACAGATGGGATCTTCAATTAGGAGAAGACGACCGCGGCGCTTCTCTGGGGTGCGAGTTTGTACAGCGGCGGCTCCTAGATTTTGGCGGCGTGGTGCAAGACCACCTTTCCTTCTTGCCGCGATCACTCTTGCGTGACCAACAACGGCTCAGAAGCTAGATGGCAGTGGCACGTGCGCGGCGAGCTCCAGCGGCGATCTAGGAGCTCGATAGATCTGGACGACATTGGTATCTGATGGGATTAACCCGATCAGATGGCGGACCAAGAACATAATATGGATCAGAAAGATATAATTACTTTATAATATTCTTTGATTAAGTATGGAATTACTTCCCCCCTCTACAATGGCGGGTTCTCCCCTTTTATAGTACTTCTAATATTGCAATTAAAATTATACAAAATGGGAGGAATTCTAGAGATCATGGGGTTGTGATCCCCTCTTTTTCGGTCTCGTTCTCCTCCCATCTCGTCCACAACTTAATGAAGTGGGCCACGTGTCCCATTCCTTTCTTGGGATGGGTCACCTTGATTTAATCCATGATTGGGCCGTCTTTTTTGTTGGATAATGTGCTATCATGAATATATATTTTTGCAATGTCCTTTGCCCATTGTCTTTTAGGTTTTGATAATGACAAAAGGGTGACAAAACATCATCATCATTTTGTGCATCAAGGCTAAGAATCAAAGCTACAACAAGTTCATATCCGTCCGTGAAGAAGGGACTTGAGCATCGGTGGAAGGAACGAGACCGAAGAGGTTGTTTCCTTAGTTGGGTAGTGTTTTAGGTCTTAGATTATGTGTTAAAGAGTATGGCATCTCTAAGGTTCATTCCCTTATCATCTTACCTTTAAAACACATTTTAGATCAGCCTTTGTATGGAGAAGTTGCCTATCTATTCGAATAATCTTTAGTTTATTTGAATAAGTCGTGATCTTTCCTGTGACTGAAATCAACCTGTTTTGTTCAAATAAATCAACACTTATTCGAATAAGTCCTAGTTTTTCAATCTGATTTATTCGAATAAATCACCATTTATTCGAATAGGAA